ACATATATATAAATATATACATATACATATATATATACAAATATAAATATATATATATATATATATAATATACAAATATAAATATATACAAACACAAATATATACAAATATATATAGATATATAAATATATATAGATATACACACACACACATATATATATACCTCTATATCCGAATAGCGTTAGTGCTTGACATACTACGTAGATCTGATGTATTCCATATATGTGATGAGCTAAAACTAAACAATCGTCGGTACCTTGTCTAATCGGCTCGGGTCAGCGCCCGCCTTTTCACACAATATCTGCGCAACCTCTATATTGCCACTCCGAGCCGCCCAATGTAGTGCCATTTGGTCGAACGGTAATTCAGGTTTGTCTAGCGAGGCCCCAGATTCCAGCAGAAGTTTGGTCACGGAATGGTTGCCACAGTACAGGGAATTGTGCAACGGCGACACACCCGAATTGGTGCGGATATCGAAAACGGCTCCAGCTTTGATCAAAATATCAACCACCTCTTTATTGCCTCCCTGAACGCGTGAGCATGAAACACTATGAGATCATAGCTCTGTTTGCTGCCGGCGGCTCCGGTCAGATACAAATGAATACAGCCAACGCCATGTACAAGCCCTCGTACCATATCTCTTTAGTACCTCTGAATATATACGCGGGAAACAACAACAATGTGAACTCCGTCGATATTTTTATTTGTGTACACAAGTGAGCTTCCATTCGATACAGCATGTAATCAAACTCGCTACCGAAAGTAGTGTTCAAACACACTTGCTGACATATGGCACTGTCTATATAAACATACTTCATATCATAATTCAACCTCGGCTTTAGCATTTCAAAGCTGCTTAATACAGCTTGGTTCAGTATTTTCTCGGTTTACACGCTCAGTGATAAGTGCAGCTTGCAATAAGATAAGTCAATTTCCTTTCTCGTGTCAATGAGATAGCGGATAATACTCGCTTGCCGTTCATAGAGGTCCGAATCAGTCAATGGACGTTCCTCTTGACATTAAAATGCATTTGCATATATATAAAAATATATATATACATATGCATACATGCATATATATATATATATATATATATATATGTATATATACATATACTATATATACGAATATATATATGTGCACACATACACACACACATACACACACACACATATATATATATACGCAAATATATATAAATATATATACATATACATATTTATATATATATATATATATATGTGTGTGTATGTGCGAAAATGTGCACACATACCCACACACACGCACACGTACACAAACAAACTCTCACCCTCCCACCCACACAAACATATATATATATATATATATATATTTATATATACATACATACATACATACATACA